GACTTACCTTACAGAACGCAGGCAGAGAGTGTTGGAAATGACAATCATGTAAGTACAGCTGAGCACAGAGCATAGCACTACCGAAACAGCTACAACTTTGCCAAATTTCAATCCCACAGGAATCCCAAATCCTGTATTTTAGAGACAGTTTTTAAGTTCGATCATTTGAGATATGTTAATGGTTGTAATCGGGCCAATAGTTGCCCTATGATGCTTACCCAATTTAAGGTTACCAAAAAAAATCAGACACAAGAGGTTTAGTAGCAGTTAATTTGAAATTGCTATGGGCAATACATAACATACTTCTGTTGATTCTCTTTGTGATATTCTGACTGTACTGTCTTTATTTCAAGCCTCCATCATTGAAATCCCAAATGTCAGGACCACATCTTGGACAGTTTTCCCAACCCCGACCACCACCTCAAGGTACTACCTCTACTATGTAATTTTTAAGAATGAGGTACTAGTTCCCTGTGTAAAAGTATGAGTAATTAAATGTGGCTGTCAAGATTTCTGCTGATTTTTTGAGTGGAATATGGTGACAGGACAGGGTTAAGTTGAATAAATTACAACAGTATTTATAGAGAAGGCGAAAAGATGAAGAATATATATGAATTTCTTCTCAGACAGTCCATCCTGAAAAAGTATTAGATTTAACATCCAAGCTTAATAAGGAAACAGAAGCAATGCCAACAAAAACTTGCAAAATGTTGAAATATATTTTTGTTTCAGATGCGCAGCTTGCCCAGAGATTGAAGTTACAAATTTCAAAAATTAAAGAGCAGAATTTAAAATGCAGTTTATTAGGGGAATGTTAGCGAACTGAGACAATAAAGATGTTTTTTTAATCTTTTGCTAAACTATGGCAAGGATCTATAAATATTTGTGCCAGTGGGTATGTGTGATAGGTGACTGCAATGGGAGTGCTCAAAGGAAATGGTTTTCCTGAGAGACTTTGCCATTTACAAAATGGCTGTTAGAGTTGGCACCACTAGACAGAAAACACTAGTTTGCAGAAGAAAATAGTGACCCACTCTTCTTTCATCCTTTCTAATTTAGTGCATTTGGTATCAGCCTGTAAACCTTTTGGCAGTTTCTCTGTTCATAGTTACTGATTCTTTAAAGAAGTTAGCTATCTAGGGGAGCCATATATTCAACCTCCTTTATGAAAATTTTCCAAAGTTGACTATGAGGGGGTGGAAATACAGAGATAATATATTCATGGGAACAAAAGACATTTTAAGATCCTTGAAAGTGTTCATATTTCTTAGAACTCTTCATCAGCTAAGGTTTATAATTAATTATAAGTGATTAATAATCCAAGAAAAGGAAGTGTCCAGTCTTCCAATGAACTTGTATCAAATCAGCCTCATAATATTGACAAAGATCAGATCTTTTATAAAAACTAACGTTGTTTTACAGACTGTGTCTGTATCCCTTTGTTCCAGGTGGCCCATGGCAGCCTCAAGGATCACAGCCCATACAGCCAGGAGCCCCGCCACAGCAAAGGCTGTCCCCACAGGGTCAGCAACCTCTGAGCCCTCAGTCCACCTCATCACAGCAGCAGAAGTCACCTGGATCTCCCCAGCAAACTAGATCATCTTCAGGAAGCTCACCAAGTCAGCCTTCCAAATTAGGCACGTTTCCTGCCCAGCAACCTCGGCCTCCGGCACAAGGATGGGCTCCTGGCCAAGGATTCAGTGAACCTTCTAAGCAGCATCCTCATCTAAAGTATGTGGGATTTTTTTTTACAATGGATAAGTCTTGCAATTTAAAGTTAAGGTGAAGCCATTATCAGTGTCTTCTCCAGAATAGAACACCAAAACAAGTGCATACATGAGACTCAACAACTGAACATAAAGGGAAGACTACATTAAACCTAATTTTTGGCACAGTCTTATATAGGGAGAAACATTTTACAGCTTAACCGCAGCCCACCCTGAAAATAATATTCAAATCTAACATAAATCCTAATAATACAGTAATGTTAAGAGTTTGTGAACTCTTTTGAATTGTCATGACTGCATAAATATGACATAAAGCATCACAGAAACCTTAAACCTAGCTAAAGAAAAGCCTAATAAAAAAATAAGTCAAACATATTGTATTTTTTTTTAATTGTGGAAAATGATCCAAAGCTAGATATATATGGCAAAAGCATGTGAGCCTTTGCTTTTAGGAATTGGTATGCCCACCTTGGTCAGTAACTTAATAACTGTAACTAATTATTTGTGATAACTCTTGGATCTCTTCTGAACATTAGTCTGAAGGAATTCTTGAAGGAAGGAATCCTGAAGGAACGTTTCTTCTGCTTTTGCCATTCTTTGGTCATATAGCTTCTGTTTTGGATCATTGATTTGCTGCTTCTCTTGAGCTTCACCTCAGACAGATATCCTATTTTCCTGTACGATTTGCTGATGCAATCCAAAATTCATAATTCCATCAAAGATGAAAATCACCTGAAAACTTGCAAAGCTGGCCAAAGGCATGACATTGCAACATTTCATATACTTTTGCCACACAAAAATGTAGCTTTAGATCATTGAGCCACGGTGGTGCAGTGGTTAAGAGTGCAGTACTGCAGGCTACTTCTGCTGGTGGGCTGCCAGCAGTTTGAGATTGAATCTCACCAGGCTCAAGGTTAACCCAGCCTTCCATCCTTCCGAGATCGATAAAATGAGGACCCAGATTGTTGGGGGAAATATACTGACTCTATAAACCGCTTAAGAGAGGGCTGTAAAACACTATGAAGCGGTATATAAATCTAATTGCTATTGCCTTCAATAAATCAATGGACAAGTATGTTTTTGATTCATAGCTTTAATGCTCTCTATCTAGTTTTTAGGATTCA